AGACAGAACGGAGAAGATTTTGAAGTAGAAGTTAACTCTCCCGCAAAGGAATCGAAAACACCACCGCGTAAAACTCTAGAAGAATTTCGGATAAACTATGAAAATCCAAGAATAAACCACATCGAGGAGTTCTTGTGATCACGCATGACGTCGCTCTATACCTCTCTTCCACCTGAACCAGGCACATTCCCCGCCCATGTAAGACTCTACGCGACTCGTCTCCAAGAAATAACTGGAAGACTCACAAAGAACAAAATGGCGAGTGTTTAAAAAAGGATGTTTATAATCCAAATGAAAATTTAATTGTTAAGTATTGTCGGCTGAGGTTATGAAAAAGTGTGGCTGAGTAAATTGCATGTCACCTTGAAAAAAAGTGATATATCGATCATTAGATAGCTTAAACGAAGGTCGGCCGTTAGTTTGAATGGCATTTTTGTCTGGTCAGTTTCCTTTCCTACAGTATCCGATGTAGATGTGTCGAGGTGTTTCCTGATCGCTACCAGGGCGCTCGCCGAGCTTCGTTGATCAGAGAACCTGCTTCTTTTTCGCTTAAATACAGAAGGACAGAAATAGTACCATAACAACCTTCAAGATCTAAAGCACATGCAGAAAACACCATTTAAGCACCACAATAATAAAAAGTAGCACACTCTAGACCTACTTTACAAAAACATTTCAACAAAATGAATGCAACGTCTAGAAAAGAATCCCCGAACGAATATATTAGTCATTAATGAGCTACTTTTTGAAGTACATTTACTATGGTTGGTGTATCGATGTCATTAACACCTTCAGACGGATTCCAGTCGAGAATCTGTCACAGACAGTTTGAGATATCGAGGTGTCGTGTTCGTCTGAGATCGCTGCAAGCCAAACAAAGTGCAGCACGACACACGAGTAACAAAGTATTTCTGTGTGTTAGAGAACCTCTGATCCAGGACTGATGCTGCTTGACTGTAAACCCACGCCGATTTGTGCTCTTGATGACAAGCTATCCTGCAGGTGTGGAGAACAAAGTATTGTAACATTTCTAGAATCTCAAATGAATAGTTATTACGCTTCTGCAACGAACTCTTCTCCCACCAATTCTTTGGACATGAACACCTAAAGGTGACTTAATATGGTCCATTTATTCAACCTATCCAAGTCAAAACTTCACAGAAGTTGCAAACATTTCAACAGATTAACGCATACGCAGGTGTGCCGAATTTTTTCGGGTCTGTTTGAAAATACGCATAGTTTTAGCGCGGTGTGTACTGAAAAGCTTATGTGGAAGAGGATTTCTGCAAGTTATTAGATGTAGGGTGTAGCTTTTGTGGATCACGTTTCGATACAAAAATTCTAACAAATGAAGCCCGAAATCATTTCCATTGAGATCAATGAATGCGGATCGCATCCGGCCCGCGCTGCCTACCTGTGCATGTTTTGATATAAATGCGTATTGTCATTTATGTTCTAGGCATTGAGCTACTTCATACCGTAACTGCAGTACCTCTTGCAGAGGTAAGAAAAACTAAGTGGGAGCAGGTATGGGATTAAAAAGACAAAGGTCTTACTGTTGATCAAACCCTGAGAGATGCGCCATGCATTCGACTTCAACAAACATCGTTAGAGGTGATCGAACGCATATCTAGCCTATACAGTGTGACTAGTGGTAGCCTACTGATGTATTAAATCGGTGCTGATATCATCTCAAACAAATCTGGTACCAATTTGCCGACCACGAAGGGATTGAAGGCTTGGTGAATCAAGAGCGTGGGGATTGATCCCATATATGTTGCAGGACACCTTTAACCACTATGCTACACCCGTACTTATTATGGCATTTGCACTTAATGGACCACATCCACACGATAACAAAGTTCACTGAATTATCGCCAGAGTACAAAAGACCGCTCTGCCTCACTTTCATCGATTTAAAGAACGCTTTTGATTCAGATGAGATAGCAGTTTTGGAAGCCCTTGATAGTCAAGGAGTTCCTACTCAGCACATAAAGATTCCTCGTGAGCTGTACAAAAATTTAACAACCAAGATAACACTATACTACAACGATATTCACATTGACATCAAAAATGGAGTTAGGCAAGGCGATACAATCTCGCCAAAATTATTTACCGCCACACTCCAGAACGTCATGCGAACATTGGAATGGGATAATATGGGAGTGAAAATCGATGGTTGGCAGTTTAGGAAAGCGGAACGTATGCTTGCCGACTTCGATAAAGCCTGTAGAAAGATTGGTCTTCGACTAAATCTCACAAGAACGATGTTTATGAGGAACGGACTGGTTTCGTATGCCCCATTCACGCTCAACGGAACGAGTATCTCCGAATGATACAGTTATGTCTATCTAAGTCGGGAAAGCGACTTACTTCTGGAGTTGAGCAGAAGGAAACGAGCGGCTTGGGGAGCTTTCAAGAGCATCGAGGATGTAGTGAAGAGAACAAAGAAAACCCGACTCCGTGCCCACTTTTATTCGACTCAACGGTACTTCCTGCCCTAACGTATGCGTCAGAAACCCGGTCGATGCGTAAGCAGGATGAGAGATCACTCAGCTTTATCGAATGCGCAGTCGAAAGGACGATGCTAGGAGTATTCCGTTCCACACAAGTAAGAGAAGGGATCCGAAGCCCCGATCTGCGTCAACGATCAAAAATCAAAGATGCCGTTCTGTACGCCAAACAGTCGAAGATAATGTGGACCGGACACACGTAATACGTATGAATGACAACCGATGGACAAGAGCCATTAATGACTGGAGTTCTCAGGATGTCAAACGTACTGCAGGAAGACCACCGATCCGATGGTCAGAATTTTTCACGAAAAGCCCAGAAGAAAGATATGATGCTCGACGAGTCCCTAGAGCGAGCAGAACCCACTGAGCTACTCTTGCATGCGACAAGAAAAAATGGAACATTTACTGGCGCCCGCTCGAGTCACTCGTCTATCAACGGAGCTACAGGTGATACGAATGAACGTGTAGATCGCGCATGTAGCGCAGTGGTCGGAGGTGCCCTACAATACACATGGGATCGAACCACGCGCCCTTCCCATAAAGTCCCTCCATCCGGGGTCGGCAACTTGGTACCAGACTTGTCTAGGAGGACAGCAGCACTAGCTCGCTACATCGAAAGGCCAGCGTAGGTCATTGTAAAGCACAGATATGCACTTAATCGCCTCCAACAATACTTAATGAAGTGAAATTCATGGCGCATCTCTCAGGGATTAATCAATGCCGAGAGCTTTATCTTTTTACCCTTTTAACGTCTAGAACAAATAGAATTACGTGAAATTGTTCCAGTCTCTAGTAGTTGCCTTTTCAAAACACAGCGATGATGTGAGTTGTTTTCAGTGCACTCGTGGTAGAAAACTCAAAACGGTAACGAATTATACGTTTGAAAGAAAAAAAGGAAAAAAAGTAAAACATTTGATCAATCGACTCTTGAACAGCTGTTAGAGGTGCCCTTAAGTACATATATGGACCCTCGTTCAATTCTGCGTCCAGCAGAAACCAATTACTTCAATCCTATGAAGTCGACGGGTTGCTGATAGATTGATCTAAGAACGAGATTTATTTCGAGCAGAAGTATAGCATTTTAAAGCTATAGCATGACATCCTGCATCAACATCCGAACAATGGAACACGTTCATTCACTTCTGCGCTGTTTGTTGGAGCCGAAAGTGTGGCATACCCCGAAGAAAGTGACGAACATTGTACGCTTCACGTCTCTAATACGACATAAAAGTGATACAAAAAGCAATCTCAGATTTTTTTTCGAGATTCTCACTCATCTATGTTCCCTCAATAGCCTGCCATATCATCATGGCTGGCAGATGCTTCAGGGTCTCGAGCAGGGATGAATAGTGGTGGTTTCACTTCCGAGTAAGAACCTGAACTGTACAAGAGTTCGACATTTTCACCAGAAATGGATAAAACAGTGCGAGGAATTACTGTTGTTCCGGCAACAAAGTAGTCATTTCCTAAGCACCTATCATCAGACGACCTGGTAAGGCTTTATCATGGCTTTCGAAGGAAGGAAAATCTTACTTATCCCACAATTAACCAATCTTATCTAGAGAATTACCAGCTAAATGGAAATTCTTCTGGGACGTACACGTCACTTGTAATTCGTGAATACGAGCCATTCAAGTATTCATAAATAAACAATAGAAATTCAGCCACTGAAGCTCTCATTCCTGAGAAAGGGTAGGTGCGATAAGCTGGTCCCAGTACATCTTCCATTAATTCTGTTATCTTGCATCTACCAGCGATTGCGAAGATTCTTCTCATTCTTTAACAGTGAGGAATGAGCAGACTAAGCCCTATCACCACCACAGTCATGAGAAAAACTTATTCCCTTGATGGAAACCTCTCTATTGAAAATGGGCATGACTACCTAAGGTGACGAAGTAGTATAAGCTTTATACAGCTCACTCGAAATTCCAGAGGAAGAACCGAATGCTAGCAGATTCTTGGACGACTTCCCAACTACCATCGTATTCCCTGCTCGTTACGAATAGTCATGAAGAGAAAACATCACAACACCAAGCTTCGGTTCTCTGGAGTTCCGAGGTCAACCTGGCCAAAGTCTGCCCCAGGTCATCACCAACATAGGCAGTCGCCGCTCTTCTGGATAAGAGTAAGATTTGCCACCATGTGACTAGTTTGATACCAGGACGGTGGTGGATCCTGGTACTGGTTTACTCTTACTCGGGTTTCCTGATAGAAATGCCGGACTTCTTCTCACCTTGGGAGACCCTGTTGGGGGAAGAATCTTCAGCTGTACATCGCAGCCCGACACCCAGGAACACTTCCCAGCCACGATGAGGCAGGAAACCGTTGGGGGAAGCATCTGAAAGAGTGACACTTTCACAATTGCCATTTATACCATTGCTATCATAAACGAAAGTATTCACATGTCAGCAGAAGAACACAACAAGAAACATATCCTTTACAAATACATCCTAGTAACAGTAACAATTGGTATACCGAAATTCCTCACGACGGGGTAAGACGGGAGGCGATTTGGTCAAGTGCAGATGTCAGATGTAGTGATTGCGAGTACAATGACATTGACAATTGTCCAAGCTGCAAACTGAGGATTTGCACGGTTTCAATTCGGTGATCATCAAGTGAGCCAACTTTTGAGAACCGTGTCACCTCTTCCATTGAAAGAATACGAGAATCAACAACGCAAACTGAAAACACATGAGGAAATGGAGAATTTCTGCACTTGATAAAAGACAACATGATCTAAAATCCTTATGTGGAAAAGTGACTTGTTAAAAAGTCGAACAGGAATTACCAAGAGGTACAATCCAACTGATTTTTTCCGTCTCATCCTTTATAGTTTTGAGCGCTTGAAGATCCTTTCCAAACAACATAGCGTTAGTATCGACCAAGACGGGGTTAAGAGCAGATAATGGAGTACCTATAAAATAAAACTAGTGATGTTATGGATAAGGCAATGTCCTGCATGTGCCGACTCCATAGTTGTTTACCAACTAATTTCTTTTACGGATAGAATAAAACGCATAAAGCTCTCAGTGCTGATCTATCCCTGAGGGATGCGCCATGCATTCGACATCATTCAACATCGTTAGAGGTGACTGAACGCATATCTAGCCTTTACAATGACTCGCGGCGGCCTGCCGATGTACCGAGTCAGTGCAGCTACCCTGGAGAGATAAAAGGTTTTGTGAGTATCCCATGTGTATTGTAGGGCGCCTCCGACCACTGCGCTATACGCGAACCATAATTTTAATTACTACTTTAAAGTACCAAGCATGACTCGAAAAACAACTTGCGACAGGTATGAGACGACAAAAAATGCCATACATAAACGAACCTTCAAATACTTTTCGCATAATGCGGTTTCCATAGGAGCGGAACTCCAATCCTTTCAAACGAAGTCTGCAAAACGGGGCGTTCACTACTGAACAGATAACAACACTGGAGCAGCGCACCAACTCACTGATTCCTCGTTAACCACACTGTTCGGGCCAATACGGGTAGAAACTGACAGAAGGCCACCACTCGGAATTCCTCAGAAACCATCCACTTCTTGACGAGGCGACACAGAGCGAGTTCGACCTGGTCGTACTGCAAATGGATCACATAAAAACAAAACTGCTTCACATACTTCTTGCACTTTTGCCATGTGATTATAACTAAGAAAGCCCTTAAAGGTTTCAAAAATCAGAAGAGAACGGAAGAGACGGTCTCTGATGAGAAAAGATTACCTCGGTGTAGTTGTTGTCTTTCGGAGCTCTCGGTGTACATAGTGCTATTTTTCCAGGAAGTACAGGAGCTAGAGCGGCTTCAAAGAGCCGTCGCCTAAACTTCACCATTAAAGCTACTTAAAATTTCGCTGTAGTCACCGATATGTGGACTCACTTGTAGTGTCTCGGCTTTGGCCTGGGATATTTGGATGAGACGAGACGGGATGATAAATGCTGGGGTCCTCTGCTAACAGCAGCAACTGAGAAGAACCCTCCAAGCATTTGCAATCCTGCTGAACAGAGAATATCACAAAACAAAACTCTTCGTAAACAGAAAACCAATATTTACAAACAATGATTTAATTTATTGTTCAACCTTTCGGTGCTTCAAACATTACGCAATTACACGTACTATGTGGAATACGACGTGATCAATTGTCGCGCTTAACTATTAGCAGTTTCTTTTTATATGTCTTAGATTTTCTTTTTATCCTTAGGGCTAGGTAAGTGTTGTAAGTGTAAATAACTCTAGTATGTTGCTGCCTGTGAGCCATAGGTACTGCGGAAGGACCTGCATGGTGGGTCGTGAACGCGTTAGCTACCGGAAAGGGTAGTAGTGCGTTCGTTCCCCACGGCAAACACCTGCGGTCCTGAGTTTTGCAAATATCTAAGCATCATTACGACTGTAATACTACTGTTTCGTCTCTTTGCCCACATGTTCGCGATTAGTTTAGGTTCGATTAGTTCGGAATAGTGGTTGTATGGCAAATATCAGACCGAAAGGAGCGGCTCTTAAAGTTGACCCGAAGGACGTGTCACCAGCTTGGAAAGTATTAAAAATGGTTGGATCTTTAAATTCGATTATAGTATATGGCAGGTCACTTGAATCACATTTAGACCTTAAAAGAACAAGCAGAAGAAGCCGAGACTAAGAATAACCGCCTTCGAGAAGAAGCTGACGTCCATACCCATGGTACTACTCTCTTCTTTTTGAAAGTTCGTTTTGTTTCCCAGTTTTTTGAAACATTGGTTTAGCGTAGCATGTCTATTTGGCTATGCTTGGTATGTTTGAACTTTTTCGGTCTTTTTACCTCTCAGGTAGAACAATTTGCTTTGTACTCTTGTTGAGCAAACCTGAGGTTATTTTATTCGTTTTGACCGAAAAGATGACATTTCGGCAGATTTCGCCTTACTGAGAGCCTGGAAAGTTCAAGCTGATCGCAATCCACCCAGCCAAACACCTCCATAACCAATAATTTTCCGATCTTTCTCCAATTTCCCTTAATTAAGGGATAAAGTAACAACTCATGTTTGATCAACAAGACTATAAAGAGTTATTGGATTAGTGCCGAGATTAACAGGAAGTCGGTTGTGGGGACTACTATAAAACCATTTTTTAAATCAGTTTTCGAACTATGACACTGTAGGATAACTGCAGTGAAAAGTTTAGCGAAACTTTAGTAATTTGCTGAGTAGTAGTGTGTCAATCAACCATTATGTATTTACCAGAATGTTAACATGATGCCGGAATACATTAACTCCTTCTCCAGTAGTTCTTGAAATTTCTATGAACTTTCGTTGGTGGCGAAATTATTTTAATGGTTATTCTTCGTATTCTAGCCGGGATTATCTCGCAAACGCAAACTACAAGAGGTGTCAGGCAGTACTGAGAAGCAGGACGAAATCATGGCAAAACACAGTTTCGATATACCTGTCCTAAGTCATGAGAGAATATAGTTAGTTAGCCTTGTTGTTTATATGTACTATTTTACTACCAAGACTAGTGCTACGGGCGCGTGTAGCGTAGTGGTCGGAGGCGCCCCGTAATACACATGGGATCGATCCCAGCGCCCCAGGCCCACCAAGTTCTCCATCCCTCTGGGGTCGGCATATTGATACCAGACTTATCTGAGAGAAGAGTAGCACTGGCGCATTGAATCGATAATCCATGACGAGTTATTGTAAGGGCTAAATATGCATTCAGTCACCCAAACAATGCTTAATGAAGTCGAATGCAAGGCGCATTCCTCAGGGATAGATAATGTCGAGAGCTTTATCCTTTGTCCTTTATTATTTTAGTGCTGCATTTAATACATATGTACCAAGCAGCATATATTGCAGTGGAGAATCTACCCCTATTCTTGCTCTCGATTGCGAATATGTTGGTGGCGGAACAGATGGAAGCAGCGATCTCCTTGCTAGAGTATCCATAGTTAATCAGGTAATTTTAGTATCTAAAAATTAACTGTTACATTAGCCACTTAGTAAACCTCTGGAATAGTAATTACACGGCAAAATATGGTTCACCTTCATAACATTTGTGCTGGTTGCGAACTATGTACCGAATATCGTGACCGTTCGTTTTAAGTCGTAGTGGTTCAGTGGGTGAATAATACAATGATTATTGCAGTTGTCAGCCGACTTTCATTTGACCTCAGTATGCTGTAGCATGTAGTGTTTGACCTTTAAATACTTTGTATTAGTTTTTTTTTCACAGCAAACTATTATGTGAAGTACAACCACACTGATATTGATACATGAGTAAAGCTCGGAGATCAATTCCGCTGACGGGTGATTGCTAATGGCAGCGTTAGGTAAACTAGCTGAGGTAAATGCAGGGCAAAGGCCTCAGTGGTGCACTGTGTAATGCGCGAGCCCCTGGAAAGGGGAAATCGTGGTTCGATCTGTCCTACAGTCCAAGTTTTGCGAATATCCCAGCATCTTTATAGATAGTACAATTGGATGTTTGAGGAGTTGTGTTGTTCGGAAGTTAATGTTAGTTCTGTAGTTTCATTTTTATTGAACATGTCTTAGCAATAGTTGTTTTTTCGGGTAGTGCACTTTTACAGACTATTGCAAAGCACATTTGACGCACTTTCGCATCTTGTAATGGAGTGCTAATACAAATTGGGTTTTTCACAAATTTCGAAGGTTGGAATTTTAGATGTCTAAACAACAAATTCGATAGATCTACCTCTACGACTTCAAGTCCGGACAGAGTGCAGCGCGAAGAGGCAGAAATATTAGTGAGATGTGGAGTAAGGAAATGTTAACGAAGACGCTATGCATTAGTTTTGGAAGTTTCTTCGCGATGAATCTGACGTTCAAGATAAGAAAGGTGGCGGACGTCCTGCTATTTTCGACGATGAATTAAACTCTTTGGTGAAAGCAAATGCACTCACATTTCATTGAGAACTTGCAGAAGAATTTGCTTTAAGCATTCCAACCATTTCAGAGCATATCAAGGAAATTGAATGTCGAAAAACCTCCACAGATATATACCGCACAGATTGAATGACCATCAAAGAAATCGTAATTTTGAGCTATCGTCGGCGCTTCCTCTATACAACCAAAACGACCTGTTTCTAGACAGTACTGTGATGTGAGCCGAAAAACAGCTCATCTTTGATAATCGGCTACGATCGGCTGTGCTTGGATCGCGTGAAGCACCACAGCACTTCATAAAGTCGAAATTGCACTAAAAGAAGGTCATGCTGAACGTTCCTTGATTTGGGGCAGGTTATTAGTCGTTGCATTTGAATCTGGGTGAAACGAGTACGACGTAAAAGTACGTGTAGTAAATTAGACGCCTTCCACTTTAGCCAAGAGAAAGGATCCAGTCCTTCAGGATAACAAGTGAGCAAACGTCGAACTGTCGACGCTGCAGTGGTTCGATGAGGCGAGCTGCAGAACTCTCACCCACCATGACTGCCAGACATAGCAAATGCCAGTTCTTTAAAGATATTGGCAGTTTTTCACCTTCCTATACGAAAATCGCTTCAAAAACCTATCCGAGGTCAAAGTTGCCTCCAACGATTTCATCGCCTGCACAACTCCGGATTTCTGTGCAGCCGGCATAAGCAAACTTGTTTCTCATTAGAAGAAAATGTGTGAATTCTAACAGCTTTTATATCATTTGATAAAGTTTGTTCTGAGCTGAGATGTGCCACTTAGGAGTAAAAGTTAAAGTCTGATGTTATTTTCCCAACAACCGATGTAAATTATAGTTTCAAGGTACTGTAATAGATCTATGGACTACAGTTCCCAGATAAGCTCAAGCGGTTATGTTGTGAATGAAATTACTGGAGACTGATTTCCTTCTTTTGGCAAAGTGCCACATAATGATAGGCTGGTTTCTTGTATCAGCTTGAGTCAGTGCCACATGGGTCTTTCGTTTGTTATCCATATAGAATATTCCTCAAACTTTAGTAAATAACACTTTGTTTTTGTCAAACACGAGGAACAATCAGTGAATGTTTACCTCTCTCATGTGAGACGAAAACATTCTACCCTTGGTTGGTATGAAAAATATAAAGCTTTGAGTTGTCTAAATAGTTGAGAAAGGCTCTCTTTCTATTAGAGAGTGTTTTATAGGTTCTTAAACGATTGTTTTTCATTCTCCGTTGCTTTTACAGGAAGGAAAAATCGTTTTTGACAAGTACGTGAAACCAAAAGAGCGAGTCACTGATTTTCGAACGAGTGTCAGTGGAATTCGGCCAACGCATATTGCAAACGGTGTTTAATATCTTTTTCTGATATCTGTTACATTCTGTAGAAAAATTTTTCAGGATCACCATTCGACGTCGTTCAAAGGGAAGTGGCTAAGATTCTTAAGGATCGGATTGTCGTTGGACACGCCCTCAACAATGATTTCCGAGCATGTTAATCAAGCGTAGATTTACCGGTTTCATTTCTCGGACGCCCTGTTTTTTTTGTTTTATATTCATTTTACTTCATAAATTTGTAGGTGCTCAACCTTCATCATAATCGTAAATTGACTCGTGACACTGCTAAATGTGCCCTGCTACGAAAAATGGCCAACTGTAACGGAGTAAGAAATCTCATTTTTATTACTTACCTAACATATTTTTTTCATTATCATTCAACGTATAACTTGTACGGATTTATTTTAGTTGTTAAATTATAGGTACCATCTCTGAAGAAACTCGCAAGCACCGTCCTTGGTGTTGAGATCCAACAGGGAGAGCACGACTCTGTAAGTGTGATTTACTTGTTTCCCCAATATTTCTTCTTTTTTTTTGATTTTGAGGCTGTTCTTTAACAGGTTGTTGATGCTCGTGTAGCTTTGAGACTGTATTTGACAGTGAAGAAGAAGTGGGAAAGTGATATTAAGCGATTCAGATACTGATTATTATTGTTATTGTTTTCCTTGTTTTACTTATTGTTATACAGTTCATGTTCATATACTATTCAGGACTGTTTCCAATTTTCGTTATTTCATTGCAGTATAACCGAAATGTGAGAAATGACCACTTTTTCATTACTAGGATACTTTGGTTTTGAAGCATATTGTTTACTGCTGGACTCATGCGTCCAAACCTCCAACAGTGGCTTTCCTTTGGGAAAATTTTATAGCTCTAAAGGAGTTCCTGGGAACTGATCATTGGTCTTACTGTTTGTTTCAATTCTGCTTAAATCTCGACCGTTAACACTGTGTCCTAAGTTACACCTTTCAGCTAGAATATGTGTAAAGAACGAAAGGAACAACCACGTTTATCACACAAACAAACTTATCCGGGGTTCACATAACGCGATTTCGCAAAATTTACACGTAAGATATGGCGATTAGGAGGTAGGTAGAAATGATTAAGCGTCTTCTACCCTGGATTACCACAAGTACAATCCTATGAGCAGTATAAGACAAGAATTGTTTTCTGAACTTTCATCAAGATTATTGGCTCTGGGAAAAGCAATTGCTGTTCTGGTAATTCTCATAAAAGATCAAAAAGTACGCATAGATTTACTATGTGAGTGGTGATGATTGTGAAAATCATAAGAGATGGGATCGTGATTAGCTTGATTTGCCACTTACACTCTTCAGCTAGGATTGACGTTTCCTTACCACTGATTTATCTCAAATCGCACTGTTCCGTTCTGATGGCTTTGCGGTATTTGGCGCGCTCACTTTCGGTTCCGCAAACGTGTACACGTTGAGTGCTGCTATTCTACCACTCAAATAATGTATCCTTTCTGAAGAATTGCATTCACATTTGTTATGTTCTTTTAAGGCACACATCAACACCATCGCATTTTCTCTCCGATAATCGACTAAGTCGATCGAATCCCACCATCATCTCGTCTGTGACATAGGCTACCAGCAATCTCCAGGCTTTTACCGCTTCATGGTTGTACTTGACCACGTCCTGAAGTAGTTCACATTTCGATCCGATTTCTATTCTTTTACTCTATGAATACATATATGTATATATATATGTACATACATATTTATATACATATGCATATACATACATATATATATATATATATATATATATATATATCAAGGGTTTACCGCTTTATCATGGCTGGGAGGTGTTTCCGGGTGTCGGGATTCGAGGTACAGCTGGGTGATCCATCCTCCAGCAAGGTCTACCTAGCCGAGAAGGATCCCGACGTTTCCACTAGGAAGCCCAGCTAAGAGTAAACCAATACCAGGATTCACCACCGTCTTGGTTTCAAACTAGTCACATGGTGGCGAATCTTGCTCTGTTGCACAAGGTAGCGGACTACATGAGGTGGTGGCGAGCTGGGGTAGACTTTGGCTAGACTTGCCTCGGGACTCCAGAGAACCAGAATGCCTAAGCCAGCTAAACCCCAAAAAATTGGAAATTATGCTAGCTTCCGCACAACTAGTGTAGAAGGGCCATCCAAGAGTATCTAAGTATATATATATATATATAATATGGGGTTGTGTACAGTAAGGAAGCACAACGATGGCGATAAATTGAAGAATTTGTACCGAATATTAGTGAAAGTTTCTAGTGTTTTTGAATCTCTGGTAAATTCATCATGTGAGAATAAGTCAATGTAGGGATAACGTGGAAAACTTGCTGCAAGGGCAGAGAGCTTGTCTTAATGAGTCGTCGCGGTGTAATTTGGTTCCGCAATGTTCCACCTCGACAGTCGTCTATGACGGTTCCCCGTTCCTTGTTAGTGTTGGCTTAGGATGCACAATTTCTACTACCTCTGAGAAATTGGCTTTAGTGACTGACAGCTTCTTTGCTTTTAAGGTTCATCCTACCATCTTTCTCGTCTAAATATTCTTGTTTCTTCGCATTAGTTCGATTACCCATCTGTCACAAATCACAGACTCCTTCCCATCAAGAATACAACTCTTCTTGGAATGGTTGACCTGCGATGTTCGTTTTGACGTTATTCATTCTGGTTCTCTTTTTCAATGTTCTCGTTCTAGACACTTGTGAATAGCACGCGGAATCTTTGACTACGTAACGGCAAAGAGCACTAGTCAGCTACATAAGACTGAAAAAGTTGTGCAAAGAATACTTTTCATTACGTTGACTGGCACCTTTAGTCTACAAGACTTTATTTTCCGTAATTGGAGAACAATCTCTCTCAATTCCTTCTTTACCACAATATGGATCTTCTTGAGGGCCATATTTTCTACTTACATTGGGATCGATCCCCGCGCCACAGACTCACCAAGCCGGCGATCTCTCCGGGGTCGGCAAATTGGTAGCAGATTTGTTTGGCAGGATAGCAGCACTGGCTCGATACATCGGTAGGCCACCATGAGTCATTGTAAAGGCCATATATGCATTCAATAACCTCCAACGATAACTAATGAATGTCGAATACACGGCGTATCCCTCAGGAATTGATCAACGCCGAGAGCTTTATCCTCCTCATATACTCACAATCACTTGTTCTTGCAAGTCCGCTGCCTCTTGTTGTTATACAAATTTATCTTCTCATCACAATTATTTAATACTTACTTGATACCTGAACGGCCCGTCATCACTAGTTGTGCGGGTCCCAGCATAATCATCATTTTTCGGAGATTGCTGGTTAAGCCATTGTGGTTCTCTGGAATCCCGAGGAAAACCTGGCCAAAGTCTGCCCCAGGCCGTCACCACGACAGGCAGTCGCAGCCCTTGTGGATCAGAGGATGATTTACCACCATGCGACTTTGATACCAAAACGGTGGTGGATCCTAGTATTGGTTTACTCTTAGCTAAGCTTCTTGATGGAAACGGTGTACTTCTTCTCAGCTTGGGAGACTCTGCCGGGTAGACCAATCCTCTCGCTGTACATCGCAATCCGACACCCAGGAACACCTCCCAGCAACGATGAGGGGGTAAACCGCTGAGAGGAACTATGGATTTTGGAATGGAAAAGTTGGGATGAACTATGTTTTGAACTCCGAACCATAACAGAAGCCATAGAAACGTTGTCGTTACCCAACCTAGACGATAGGGGATGTTTGCTATATTTACGAGGTCCTGTCATTACCGAAGTTTTCTCAGATTTCTTCTTCGTTTTGCAATGTTGTAGGAGTCTTATGGCTCATGTTTGCTGCTGATACCATGAACGAAATTTAGCGCTAAGGTGGTACCTCGTAAACCTCCATTCGATCCACCAGAGACAGCAAATGCGTTTGGCAACAAAATGGTAATGGGTCGGTATCGCGATCTCGATAATTCAGAGAAATTTATGAGCTGATTTCAGTAATGCTCTCCCTTATGGTGTTGTAAGTTCTTCTACAGAAACCTTCCGTAGCTGTCTTCTACTCGTAAGTGCTTGGCATATGTTCCATGAAAATTAGATCTTGCGGTTGTTTTCTACCTAGCAGTTTTTACGTGGTTGTGGAGATGCAGTCCTAACCGTTTGCTTCTTTTTATTTCTACTTTGTTTATTTTTCGACCCGTAGTCGTCTGATGATGAATTTAGCTTTGTTTGGTTTTCTGTTTCGAAACTGCACTCACGTAACTGAAAGATTTCCTCCATGCAATTCTCTTCGTTCGAAATTACTTCGCGGCCATTGTGCCAAAAGTGGTTTCCCGGATTGTTCCTTAGCTGAGCTTCCACATGACCGAGAACGCAGTGAGTTGACTCAGATCACAACGGTAGCATTCCAAATGTGTAAACTAAGTAGCTCATCCTTTCATAAATTAGGCCAGTCGCTTTCTAACGCTTCTTATCGCTTTTTTCGAGATGTCAGCTCCAGCGGTTCTCACCATATTTTTGTTTTTTTTTTATTCCAGGCTTCCAATTTTGCATCTCTTTTCAGTCGCCTTTCGTTTTCTGCTATTGAAGCACAAAACAAATCTTTATTACCTTTTTCTGAATCACGGAACACGTCTGTTTCGTCATTATCTGTACAGGGTAGTAAACATCAATTAATGATTTCTTATGATGAGGTCGATTATGAAAGGCAACTTTACGAGATCGAATCTCGAGTGAGTCGGCATAATGGGAAATCAATGAGTGAATGAGAGCCAATCAATGAATGAATGAATATTGAAAGTTTATTATGGGGCTTTACCTCTGACTATCCTTGGATTACGCCGTGAAATTGATCTACTGGCTCTTTTCTCCTTTGATGTCTTACGAAGCGACCACATAGAATTTTATAAGGTCTATATCCTCAAAACTAGCATGAATATCGACGCCAGAGGACTTTCCGATGAAATAACATCGAAGCACACCCTACTTATGTAGTTCTAAAATCTTATTTTCTCGTTCGGAGAGTAGATCCATGCTGTAAAGAAGTTTATCTGACTTCTATCACAGCAGAATCGCGACACTATAGCTTTTCCATACCCCATTTGTATAGGAAAAGTGTACTAACAAAGTGATACTGAGTGCTACTGGGCACGAAAAACTGGGATAATATATTGGCTTTTACCAACCAACAGTCTTTACAGCCGAAATCAATTTATTAATGCCGGAGTGCTACACACAGACATTATTACGTGTGTAACGAAGCACCACAATGGAAGAAGATCGCAAGTGTGCGAAGTGGGTCGAAATTTCGTAGGTCGAGAAGGCCCATCAAATAAAATCATGTGAAATGTGTAGCAAAAATGTAAAGGTCCTGGAAAGAACTCAAAGAATATTTAATCCCGGTTACCCTGCGCTTACTAATCTCACAGTATCAATATCAAAATCCCACTAATGGCTAACCGCTTCACAGTGATTGCAGGTACTCTAGGTTGAGCTGCGATTTATAGCAAGGGCTCATCCCGCACTATGGTCATTCAAACTGAAAAAAGAGTTCGATATTCCCATCCGAAAGCTCAGCTGTAACCTATGCCTAGACAGAGGTCGAAGACCCATATCTATGGATGCTTAGCTACCGGCTGTCCAAGAACAGTAGAATAAAAAGCTCCATGTACGAAGTTTGTTAGTGTTCCTGTCTCTCCACTGAGTAGTATGGGAATAAAATAACCATTCGTCCTTGTAGCATAGCATAACTTGTGACCTTGAGTATTTATCTATGCTACAAGTAATAATGGCTATTTTAATTTCACCCATTCAGTGATTAACGAGATTACATGGGGTAGAGAAATTTAAAACAATGTATTAGAAAAGACAATCTAAGAATGTCATAATTTTTTGATGAAAGGACAAACGCTGTTTGTGACAACAGGATTATTATTATTTTCTACGGAATCAAGTTGAAAAACTAGCAGTACTATGGTGGTTGTCGATGTTTGGTGGTATCGAATTCTGGAACTCTTTTACAACGACTGAGGATTTTAATACGATAAATGGCGTAGTCCACCTGAGCAGTCATTTTTTGCGAGTGGTTATGCTTGCATTGTACTTCGTACTTGATACTTTAATGGCACACCCGAGGATTCTTAAAGTATTATAAGGTCTCCATCACCATTCCCACATGTTTGGTATGTGGTTGGTTGGATTTGCTTTTCCATAGAGTCTCGGTAAAGTCTTCATCGGCGCTAATCGCCTTCGACACAGATTGCGGCTTGTTGTTGTGGATCGGAGGGAGATTTGCCACATCGCGACTATACAGCGATTTTAGCTTTTCCCCAGCATGGATGATCCTGTCATAAACGAATCTCTTCCTGTATATCACAACAGCGCATCTATGAACATCGTTCATTCACGATTAGGCAGTAAAATAGTGGGTAGTGGGTAAGTGTTGCTTAAAAGGGAATAGACCTACGCAATGTTTTTAGGGAACAGATTCATTAGTGGTCAGTGCTGTCTATCTCATGTCCTTTAAGGTAATTTCAAAGTGCCAAAATTTTAGAGCTTTTATTATTTTTCTTCTTTCATTTTCACCGTATATTCTCCGAACTAGAATAGTTTAGGTTTTTGACTTGTTCAGCTTCACCACACCATGTTTCATGTTCTTATGGAACCAAAAAACATTAAACATTTGTTTTCAATGTTGTTCTATGTTTGAGCGTGAGCGAAGAACGAACCTGTGACGCAATCACCGCTACTGCAAGCTCTCCAAAGTACTCCATCATTTCTGCCGATAAACCGCTTTCTTTCATCTGAAAGTTCCAGATGGAATTTCTCAATTTGTTTCGGTTGTAAATTTCGTAGTTAAATTGCTCATGACCGTACTGATTCTTTGACACCTGCTGATAATTCTTCTTGTTTGAGTGCTGGAGAACCTAGACTTTATGGGCTTTAGAGCAGATATACCCTATCGCTCTAGAAGTATCTATAATTTTGCTGAAATATTAGTTTTATTTTAGATCCACTTCACACATTTTTGGTAGCGTCTAATTTTCGGTGTCTACACTCCGGAACGACGCCTAATTTTTCGTCAGTTGCAGGGTGCATTGGAACCAATGCGCGTTTTCCCTTTGCTGGCCTTCTTCGTAGAAAAAAGGCGTCGAGTGCTGTCTCAGTTGGCAATGGCAACAGCATTTGTGTTTTGCGCTACTGTGTCCTTACAAAGGGCAATTACTGGTCACGGGACACAGCACTTGTGCGGAAAAGAGATCTTTGTATCTTCTTTATCTGTTGCAGTTTCGCCAACTATAATAATGCTTCCATATACCTTCCTTACCAGCAAATTTTCTATTGGCTTCAATAACAAATCCTTTAGAAAAAAATTTTCAAACTATTAAATGTAAATTAGAGCAAACATTGTAAATTGTAAAATTATTGGATGTAAATTAGAGGCTTGCTCAGAATAGGTCTGGTAAAATAATGATTTTGGATGTTTGACCATTTTTTTTCATCACCGACCTGCGCATGCTTCTCTCCGCATGGTCGAATCGAATTCAACTGGCTTTCGTCGCCGTTCAGGTTCTCTATTATTTTTTCGAACAATGACACCTGTAAAAGAAGTAGAATTGGCGGAAAATATTCTAAGTGTTAATATTATTACTGAATCATTGATTTACATTATTTAGAATACAAATACACATTCCATAACAATCTACACTACTAACATTGTTCATATAAAATCCAAGCTCTTTCTAGTTTATCATATGTTATGATCCTCCTAACGGTTTACCGCCTCTTCGTGCCTGTGAGGTGTTCCTGGGCGTCAGGCTGCGATTTACAGCGAGGGGATTCATCAACATGGCAGGGCCTTCCAAGCTGCGAAGGAGTCCCGCGTTTCCGTCAAGAAGCCTAGTCAAGCGTAAACCGATAACACGATCCATCACCGTCGTGGTATTAAAGTCACATGGTGGCAAATCTCTCTCTGATCCATAAGGGCTGCGACTGCTTGTGGTGGTGAAGACCTAGGACAGATTTTGATGACAAGGCTGACCTCGGGATTCCAGGGAACCACAATGGTTTAACTAGCAAGTCTCCGAAAAATGGAGATTATACTGGGGCTCGCACGACCATTGAGGGTGGGCCATTCAAGTATCAATATCAAGTGTATATTATGATTTAACGCCTGAGAAATAAGAGTGTACTTGGATGGCGGAACATGTTCTTGAACTCAGGTTCGTTCACCGACAGGATCATTTAAACTGACAATGAATTTCATGTTTCCAGTTGGAAATTCAGCTAAGAGAAACCATTGGCTGAACTCACTGGTTGTGGAAATCTTGACCACTAGTAGACAAGAGTTCAAGACCTAAGAAAGCCTTAACGCAATTTACGAGACTTCAGAAAACATTAATTCTATCCAATCTGCAAATTACCTATGAATAGAGATTCTGCAGGGACCCACGTACTCCTTTGATTCGTTAATACGGTTGTTGAAGCACTCACGTACTTGCGTATTTGTTACCGTTCTATCAATTTAGTCGATTGTTGTTCCTGCGGAAACCCAAGTCTAGGTGAAACGGAGTAATTCCGTAGCCCCAGTGGTTCCTGAGGAAATGTCGGTTTTGTTGATGCTGTTCTCACATGTTTCCCTGCTCTTGCGATCACAACAGTGGCTACCACTATAGTACCACCTGTCTATTTTTTCTAGTATTCTAGACGACGTTTCAGGTTACACCTCTGCCTTGATAATTCTCATTTAACACGTAACATCTGTTTCTGAAGTGCCAACGATTATTATGTCGTGATTGGGTTATCAACTTGCAAATCTCCTCTCTTCCAGTTGAGATTCGACCACATCGACTGCCTCGTCGTCGTGAAATCAGTAATGAGATCTTACCTGTGCATAGTTAATACAGAGTTGTTTCATGAATTTCCTTTGTCAAATTTCATTTACCTCTCAGTTTTAACAAAGTTCCTGTAACATTGTTGATCACGTCCACTTGGCCTTTAGCAAGGTTTCTTTTCAAAGTCATCGATCACTTCCTATTTTTAACTTCTTATTTACTGCCTGTTATTTTTTCCGTGGAAGGACGTTATGTGAAATACAACCACGAATGTGCTGAGATATTTGCAAAACTCAGAATCCCAGCTGAGTTTCGAACTTAATTTTATCCACTACACTGGTGAGGCCCCTATTTTCCAGCTCACTCAGCCATTTTTTCAATCTATCGGTGCTATCAGCAATCACCCATCAACAGGAATGATCTGGAGACTACAGACCAGCATTGAACCCAGTTGACATAACACCCTGCTATGAAGAAAAGGTAGACTCTGAATTGAAAGTTAAACATAGTGATTAAACTGCAGCTTCAGCCTAACTGGTCATCATTACGGTTGTATTTCCTATTTTATCAAATATGTGCTGTACCCACTGCATAAAAAAGAAAACGGTGAAAGAAAAAATATATTCGGCGTTGATCAGGGGAGCGCCGCCCATTCAGTTCCATTTGTGACATCGCAGGAAGGAATGAATGAATATCTAGCACATATGGTCTACCGATGCATTAAATGAGCGGTCTTCTCGTTGCAGACAGGTTTAGAAGTTTGGCGACCCCGGAAAGAAGGATAGCTTGATTTAGCGAAGTGTCCGAATGAAACCAACGAACACATGTGTATTCCCAAGCACCTTACACGTTTCTGTCACTGGATAAGTACGATGTTTTATGTGATAAGAGCTCATTGCCTAAACCCTTTGGTCTAATTGAACACTATAGAAATTAGAAACTAAACGAAGCTCCATTCGGTATCAATGTATGCAAAAGGAAAAATATCGACGTTTTTAGAGTCGAAAACCATAGGAACCATAGCCCTTTTAAAAACACAGGGTTCAACTGCAATAACCATCTAGAGTGACGTTCTTATCCACTCCAAACGTTTATTTTGTCTAATAATGGATGCTGATACCATCAACACTGGTTGCACGGCCATCGTCCAAAGAATTTTTTAACAGCAATGCTCTGCGTAGCAACGACCGTGTATGCCGCGATCACCATTTTAGTTTTGCTGATGGTTTTTTGACATAAGCAGGCAAATTTCCCTTTTTTGCTTAAAAGATAAAAATAACAAACTCACCACGCATTTGCAATGATCGTGTTCGGTTCGAACCAATGAAGGTGAAGATTTTTCCCTTGAAAGGGAATTCACGAAGGCAGTAGTTAGAAAAATGGACCTAAATATAAAAAATCGAAGTCTGATTTTTTGAGTAGAGAAATGAGCTTGATTCTGTCCAGACCTGATATCAGGGTATTTCGCTTCCAGGCGTCGAAACACCTGCTCCATCAGCTTTGAAAACATTCCGCTAGAGAGTATTTGAGTGAAAGTTGCCTGTTGATGATTAACCACTTATCGTAGCACTGCGTTATTTACTATTTACAACCAAAACAATACCACAACAACTCTCCACACCTATAGTATCCAGCAAATAAGATTTTTTTAGTTCGGAAACTAAAGTGTGGTAAATAAGAGTTCAGGCGAGGTAGGATGGTTGACAGATGAGAGGCTGTAGTCAATAAAGTTGCCAAGATCTCTGCTCCGATGAGAGAAAAGTGCTAATGAAGGATAAAGAATAAAGCTCTCGGCGTTGATCAATCCCTGAGGGACTCGCTATGCATTCGACTTCATTAAGAATGGTTTAGAGGTGACTGAATGCATATCTCGCTTTCACAATGATTCGCGGTGGCCTACCGGTGTATCGAGTCAGCGCTGCTATCCTCCCAGACAAGTCTGGTACCGATTTGCCGAACCCGGACGGATGGAAGACTTGGTGAACCTGGAGCGTGGGACCATGTATGTTGCTGGGCTCCTTTAACCATTGCGCTGCACTCGTTCTTACTGAGTACGACATACGGTACGGCGGTACGGTTGGCGGTACGATATTTCATTATCGCTGCAGTTCGACTTTCTCATGTACAACGTGTAAATCGCGCATGTAGCGCAATGGTTAGAGACGCCCTACAATATACATGGGATCGAACTACGTGCCCCACTCTCATCAAGCCCTCCCTCCATCCGGGGTTGGCAACTTGGTACCAGACTTCTCTGGGAGGATAGCAGCACTAGCTCGATACATCGATAGGCCACCGCAGTCATTGTAAAGGACAGATATGCATTCAATCACCTACAACGATGCTTAATGAAGTGGAATTTATGGCACATCCCTCAGGGATTAACCAATACAGAGAGCTTTATCCTTTTATTCTTCTAACGTGTAGATCAAGAAGAATTATGTGAAATTTTTCCAGAATCCAGTAGTGGTCTTTTCAAAACACCATTGTGATGATGTGAATTGTCTGGTACCAGTTTGGCGACTCCGGAGGGATGAAAGGCTTGGTGAGCCATGGGCGCGACCATCGATCCCGCGCATGTATCACAGAGCGCCTCCGACCACTGCGCCGCTTGCACCGGCGGTAAAGCGTTATAATACCAAGTAAAAGCAATCATGCATATCCCGAAAGAAAACTGAATTCTGAGATTCGCTTTTCCATTGCTCTTCTTCCACTCCATGAATTCTATATTGGAATTAACTTATAGTTAAGCCATCTACAGTCCCGATAATCCTCGAGCAATTCAAGCGTGCACCAAAGGAATTTTGTTTTTCTCTGTAAAGCACCAGAACTACCTAGTGAACCTAGATTGTGGACCAAAGCACCAAAACTTTTATGCGACTTGTTCTACTATTATTGACAACAAAGTAATGTCTGCTAGCCAGCCCGGCTATGTCGTGGCATAGGTCTACTCTTACCAGGGCTGTCATATAGAATTTTTAAATTTCTCAATTTAGGCCACTGGGCAGGTGGTGATGGGCTCTGAGGTTGCAGGTTCGCAGGTGAATACGCAACAGTGTCGGCAACCTATCAGTGGGCGGCTATTGTCATATAAAGAAGTGTAAGGGAGCGTTTGGTGTTTTGACCGGGAGAGAAATGTGAAAAATGCGAGTGCATGGGGAAAGTCAGGAAAAATCAGAGCTTACCAAGCCACCAATACCAACCGCTAAAGTCTAAAATAACAATTCCCAGGACTGACTTTCTGTTAGCATCGTCATTGTTCAATAAGTCTGTGTTTTATTTTTGAGGAGACACGAGGTTGTCAGTAACAAGATTTATTCAACACTGGTTGACGTTGCAATTTCGCCTTATTCAGAGCTTGGAAACGTCTAATTGACAAACTATCTACTCAGCAAACAGTTTCACTACCCAAGTAGAAGGAATCAACATGCAAGTTTCATTTGCATATTAAATAGCCTTTTTTGAAATCTCACCGCTTTGTTCTCCCTAGGTCTTTTAGTTGCAGTTAAAGACAGGCGCACAGATCTTGATATGGGTGAGGAATATTCATGGTTCAACTCAAAAAATTCGCCCGAGGTATTGCGCAATATCATCATTATCAGAAAGTATTGCTCTTTGTGGTTAATTTTTGGGTTTTTTGAATTAATACAAAGTGTTTCAAGAGCGCGAAAGTGCTGATATTTTGGACCCCTGTGCGCCTACTGACTTTTACTTCAAATTCTCAGATATTTTTTTGTGCCCGGTGCTTTCCATGTGGTGTTTAGTTTGGCTTTAAGTTTCCCAACTATATGGTCTCCTATACGGACGCAGATTGTTCTACCCGTTTCGCCAACGTATTTGCCTTCATATGTTTTACAAGAAATCGGGTACACCTCATCTCAACTCATCTAGTCACCTTCTATACCGCTAGGCATATTATGCAATTGTGAACCTCGCGCAGGCCGTCATACAAGTGTTTGCGAACCAGCTCGTGCGTGAGAGTATTTGATGTTATTTCAATCATCGTTACTGAATTCTCCAGACAGGTCGTTCTTGAGCAACTATTTATAGCTATGCTTATTTCGTTGGAAAAAAGAGCAGAATGAGTGCCACCCTATTTTCACTGAACATATCGTTTTGTAGCGTCGTCCTTCCTGTAAACCAATCCCGAGTAACTACCGATTTGCAGCTAATAAAAATGGCTATTTGCTGCGCCATGTTCAGAGATTACTTTTCTGCTCTTTTCCTGTCCACACACTGGTGGCTTTTCGGAACACTTTTCTCCGAAAAGCTCTTTCTGTGTGTTAAGGTTGAGAGGAGAGTCATTGAACTAGTATATTTTTGTTATTCTGCTTTTGGCACCACATGGTGGTATTCGCTCATGATCTTCCGTCTACTGATCCTTCATTGTTTAAAATTAGTCTTACCATAAACTGTGTAAGCACACCCACGGATAGAAAAATTGGTCTATAAACCTAATACTTATCCAGTTATTGAAACACATCGCAGCCTATCTAACGTACAACCAAATGTTCCTGGATCGTCTGCGCAGCGCGTCTGCCAACAGTGCGCACGTGATGGAGTCCTTCGGGGTCAACGCACTTTATACAAACGTGTCAAATGACTTCACAATTCAACCTATCCACGAGCTCCTTCTGCAACACCAAGGGGCAATAAACATGTAAGGCTTCTCAATTCAGCAGCTTATGGTTCTCTTGAGAGAGTACCCTAAACTGTACAACCTTCAAATGGTCCGGGAAATATTACGCACAAATGAGAGGTTTGGCACAGACACTGACTAGCACGAAGCGTTTCCACTGCATTCATATCTAGAATTGAAGATCTCGTACTCCCTACCCGGCCGGTACCCTGTGTTAGGTATACCAACAACTGTTTTGTAATCTGTCCAATATTAGAGGAGATAAAGAAATGTTTTGAATTGTTAAACCAACGGTCAGAGTAGTTCCATCCAGGAGAAACAGAAGTCGGCAGCTTCGGTTTTTGAACGTTTCTATTAACCTATCCAAAACCCACTACATCATCAAGCAATACCGAAAGCCACGCAACAAAAACTTGCTCATTCTTCAACTCTCCCTCACCATTCACGCGCGAAAAGACGTTTGTGAGAAGCCTCTTTTAAACAACGACCAGTGCGTGCCCAGGAACAAAAGGAGAAGGAAAAACCCTGAACTCGACCCGGAAAATAGTCATTCCTAGTGGCAATTTACAGAATGTTCCCAAATGACAGATGCAACGAAAACGAAGTCCCATTTTGTTTAACGTTCTTGTTTTCTGCCTTCTATAATTTTCATGGCAGGTTACTAAGCGAAATACAACCACAACGTTGCTGAGATATTTGCAAAACTCTGGACCGCAGGTGCCTATGGTGGGGAACGAACGCGCTATTGTCCTTTCCGGGGAGTAACGCGTTCACCACCACACCATGCGGCTCCCCACCATAGGCACCTGCGGTCCAGAGTTTTGCAAATATCTCAGCAACGTTGTGGAAGTCCCATTTATTCCGTTTTTCATCTGCAGTGAAATAAGTGCAGCTATAAGGCCTTGCTCAAGCATGGATGGTTTAGAGAATTCGGTAGCAACGATTGAAATACCACCGAACAGTCTAAACCGGCAGCCAATTCGTATTTGCTTTTATAACCGTCTACACAAAATGCAAAATTGCATAATTTGTCTTAACGGTAGGGAGGACGACTGCATGAAATCGAATACGATGTACATAATTTCTTGTAGAGCATCTGATAACGAATACTTTCGCGAAGTGGGTAGAACACTTTGCATCCGTACGAAGAGCACCTGGTAAAAGGATAAAGGATACAGCTCTCAGCGTTGAATAATCCCTGAGAGATACGCCGTGAATTCGACTTCATTAAGCATCGTTCGGAGGCGATTGAGTGCATATCTGTTTTTTACAATGACTCGCGGTTGCCTACCGATGTATCGAGCCAGTGCTGCTATTCTCCCAGACAAGTCCGGCACCAACTTGCCGACCTTGGAGAGATGGAGCCATGGGCGCGGGGATCGATTCTACGTGTGTGTCTCCGACCAGGTAGAGAACTAGGTATAACGAGCACCTAGTAGAGAAACTTAAAGTGAGACAAAACACTCCACTCGGTACGCATAGGGCACGAAGATATACCGGAGAAGAATTTGAAGTAAAGGTCACTGTTCCCGCACATTAATCTTAAAGATCAGCGCGTAAAGCCCTTTAAGCGTTTCGGATTATTTTCAAAAATCAGGAAATGAACCGCAAAGAGGAGTGCCTTGTGATCACGACTGATCTCGCTTTGCACCTCATGCCGATTTTTTGACCTAAGGAAGACACATTCTTCACCTATATGAGGCTCTGTGAGGCTGGTTTCCAACAATAACTAAAAGGCTTGTAAAGAATAGAACGATGAGTGTAAAGAACAAAATTGGCTGAGAGACAAAGCAGGGGCCAGGTTGGTGTGGTGTATGGTGCGTAGACTCTCCCTCCACAAAGTAATCGCGGGTGGGAAGTCCAACTGAGGTTCCGAGTTTTGCTCACATCTCAGCATCGTTGCGGTAATATTTCACGTAATTCCCTTCCTTGAAAAGAAGAATAGCCAGCAAATAAATGTTAGAATTGTGGGCGTTCAAAAAAGTTGTTTGCTATCGAATAAAAATTACGTACTGAGTTTTCTTTGTTTGTGTTATGAAAGTGTTTGGCCGCGTACATTGTATGTTAACTTGACCTTACCAGGCTCCTAAGAAGGCGAAAGCGCTGATGTCAGACAGTACTTAATAAATCTCGCCACTGGCAATCTCGAGTCTGTATTGTTTTTCCTTCATTAGCGAGGCTGAGATCCCTTAATCAATCGGTACAACGAACAGAAACATCGAGGGAAC